GTTTTCATATTTGTTGGTGTACAGTTGTTTATAATGATCTCTAATGATTCTTTGTATTTTTCTGGTATCAGTTGTAATGTCTCCCTTTTCACTTCTGATTTTTGTTATTTGAGTCTTCTCTCTTTTTTTTTTTTTGTAACCTAGCTAATGGTTTGTCCATTTTATTTATCTTCTCAAAAAACTAACTTTTTGTTTCATTGATCTCTTGTGTTGTTTTTTAGGTCTCTATTTCACTTAATTCTGCCCTGATCTTAATTATTTATTTCCATCTACTACTTTTAGGATTGGATTGTTGTTGTTTGTCTAGTTCTTTGAGGCATGGTGTTAGGTCATTTATTTGAAGTCTTTCCATTCTTCAGATGTAAGCATTTATACAATAAACTTCCCTCTTAGTACTGCTTTTGCAGTATCCCACATATTTTGGTATGCTGTATCTTTATTTTTGTTGGTTTCAACAAATTTTTTATTTCCTTTTTAGTTTCTTCTTGGACACATAGGTCATTCAGGAGTCTGTTATTTAGTTTCCATACACTTGTATAGTTTCTGGAAGTTTGTTATTGATTTCCAGTTTTAACCCATTATGATCAGAAAAGATACAAAGATATGATGACAAAAGAAAATTACAGACCAATGTCCTTGATGAACATAGATGCAAAAATCCTCAACAAAATATTAGCAATCAGAATACAGCAACATATTAAAAAAATTATACACGATGATCAAGTAGGATTCATCCCAGGGATGCAAGGATGGTTCAACATATGCAAGTCAATAAATGTGATACATCACATAAGCAAAATCAAGGACATAAACCATATGGTTATCTCAATAGATGCAGAAAAAGCATTCAACAAAATTCAACATCACTTCATGGTAAAGACTCTCAGCAAATTAGGTATAGAAGGAAATTATCTCAACATAATAAAAGCCATTTATGACAAAACAATCACCAATATCATCCTGAATGGGGAATAGCTGAAAGCTTTTCCCTTAAGAATAGGAACAAGGCAAGGATGCCCACTCTCACCACTCCTATCTAACATAGTATTGGAAGTACTAGCCAGAGCAATCAGCCAAGAGAAAGAAATAAAGGGCATCCATATTGGAAAGGATGAAGTCAAACTGTCCCTGTTTTCAGACAACATGATCTTATATATAGAAAATCCTGGGCCGGCCCGGTGGCACACTGCTACAGTGCGCCGCTTG